CACCAAGCACGTATATTACATTGAGTTCCCAGCCCCGGCTGAGACAAATATACGTGCAAAAGAAGAGAGTAAACGGGAGCGCTACAGAGAGCTCATAAAGGACATAGGAAATGTCTATCACGAATACACAGCGCACGTGATAGCGCTGATGATTGGCGCCTTCGGACGAATGAGGGACCGCTTTCTGACAGAGCGTCAAACAATACCAGTCTGCCGTAGTCAGGCTAAGATTCTCGCGGCTCGTATGCAAAAAGCGGTCATCATTGGTTCTCTCCGTATTCTGAGATGTTTGTAAAAAATTTCGACTGAACGGCTGCAGCTTCGGCTTACCCTCAAACCTGAGGAAGTCAGGTGTCTGCAGGGTAATCCCGTCTGGTCAGGCCTCAGGTGGGTCGAAGCCCTGGGATCCTCGGCCAGACACCTTTGATGAATCGCAAGTTGATTATAACAATGATAATAATTTAAAAATTTAAATTCAATTCGACAGACTTTTATAAGCTTCTCCTGAGATAAATCCTAAGAAATGTACATTTTTCCAAAAAGAAGTTATTGCCCTTGGACATGTAGAATCTGGTAAAGGACTGAAAAGTTCTCCAGATAAAATTTCTGCTATTATTAATTGGCCTGATTCTAAAAATAAATCTGAACTTAGAAGTTTTTTAGGTCTATGTTCTCATTAAAGGAAATCTGTCAAAAATTTTGCTACTATTGCACAACCTTTATATGTTATTAGTCAGAAAAAAAAAGATTTTATTTAGGATGATTTAGCTTTTTAAACGTTTCAAAAATTGGAACAAATTTTGACTTCTACTCCAATTTTGGGTTATTCTGATCCAAATTATCCTTTCACTCTTGATACTGATGCTTCGAATGTTGGCATAGTGCTGTGTTATATCAGAAGATTCCAGTTAATAGAAATGGTGAGACTGTTTATTAAGGAAGATTTATTGCTTATTTTAGCAAAACTTTAAATAGTCATGAATGTAACTACTATGTTACAAGGAAAGAATTAGTAGCTGTTCTTATTTCTGTTGAACATTTTCGTCATTTTTTACTTAAGCGGTAAGAGGTTCACTATTAAAACTGATCATGGTTCTCGCACTTGGTTACTTTCTTTAGAAAATCCTCAAGATCAAGTAGCTCGTTGGTTTGAAATCTTATTCCAATATGATATCGAAGTTCAACATAGACCTGTTCATAAACATAGCAATGCTCATGGTCTTTCTCGACTTGTAATTGTAAGAATGTCTCAAAATAGATTCTGATGAAAATTGTGATAGGAGGCATATTGTCCGTGTCTTTTTTGAAATTAACAATGATTTTGATTGGATCAAATTTCAAAATGACGATAACATTTTAAGTTTAATTATTACATTCAAAAAGGAAATTAAAGTTCCCGAGTTTAATGATGTTTCACATTTGGATTCTACTTTTAAAATTTATTTACTTTATTGCAATTCTGTAGAATCGAAAAATGGTGTTTCAGTTAAACTTTAGGAAGCTCCAAATCTCTTTCATATTATTTTCCAGGTTGTTATTCCTCGAGCTAAAGTGAATAGAATAATTCATGACGCTCATAATTCTCCTCCTGGTGGTCATTGAGGTGTTAATAAACAATTTCAAAAATTTGTTTCGCTAAAAAAGGCCCCCATAAAAAACCTTGTGGTCCACTTCAAATTTATAATGTTGGTTCTCTTCTCGAAAGGGTTGCTATTGATATTCTTGGTCCTCTTACTGATACCTCCTCTGGAAATAAATTTTTACTTGTTGTTACGGATTATTTTACTAAATGGCCTGAGGCGATTCCTCTGCCTAATCATCAGGCTTCTACTATTGCTGAGGCTTTAGTAACTCAAATATTTTATAGGTATGGTGTTCCTTTTGAAATTCATTCTGATCAGCGTCGAGAATTCGAATCTAAAATCTTTCAGGGGGTGATGAGTCTTTTTGGTATTAAGGAGACAAGAACAACACCTCTTTATCCTTTATCTAATGGTTTAGTTTGAAGGTTTCATAGGACTATTCTCCAATATTTTTCCAAGAATATTAGTAACTATGAAAAAGATTGAGATACGTGGATTTCTTTATTTTTATGGGCCTATCGTTCTTCAAGGCATGAGTATTCACCAGCTTTGTTGATGTTAGGTTACGAATTAATGTTGCCTATTGATCTTCTCAGAGGAATAAATCCTTCAGATAACTCTTCTGAAGATAATTTAACAACCGATTTTGTTTCTAATCTTCATCAACAATTAAAGATTGTTCATGATAATATACGTGATAAGTTGCAAATAAAATCAGAAAAACTTAAGTGTATGAAAGATTTGTAATGTAATGTTCTTTCTTTTGGTGTCGGTTTGGTTATTTTTCCCTAAAAGACTTAAAGAATAATGTCCAAAACTTCAATGGAAGTGGGAAGTTCCATGTATTATCAAAAGCAAACTTAATGATGTATTTCGAATTCATAAATTTTCAAATGGTCGTTTGAGAGTTGATCATCTGAATGGACTCTGAGAGTTGATCATCTGAATGGAGTTACTTTAGGATATACATGGTTGGAGTCATTCTGTTCTGTACCGGAATTCTGTTCTTCATTTATTGGCCAAAGTGAAGCAAAGTGAGGTACAAGATGTCCATGGTATCCTATTTTTTCTTTAGTCGGATAGTATGCGTAACGGTGAGCCCAATTTTTAATAATTTAGTTTGCACGGTGAGCAGAAGCTATTAAACTTATTTTTGAAAATTCCTTGCGCAAGGTGGAATTATATTGATTGTTTTAATTATATTGAATCATTTATTTCAGAGTCGGATTTTATTTTTGAAAAAAAAATGCGAAATCGGAATTGGGGAGAATTGACTCCATGAAGTGTGACCATTCAACCTAATTATTAGTTAAACGTTGAATTTAATATAAAATGATGAAATTTTTAAAGAACTTCGATTCTGTAAGAAGCTTCTATTTCGTTGAGTTCCACGACGTTCCAGTTTTTGGCATTTCCCACTCTTTGGGTTTTTCTGGTTCTTTCCAGTGGCTCTTCCTGGTGAAAAAGAAGGGAGGAAAGGGAATTGAGGATGAAAATTTAGATTTTTAATTTTTAATTTGACTAACAGACGATTAGTTTTCAAGCAATCTTTCATTAAATAGAATCCCGTAAATAGTTTATTTAGATTATTTTGGTCTGTTTTGGAGGTTTTTACCCGCCGCGGGATTTTTTCCTCCCAATTATTTGTTTTATTTATTTTGAAGCAGACAGAGTTGGGAAGCGGCAATATTGGTATTTAGGCTGAATAATGACTTGATTCATCTTTATAATTTTGAATGATTATTAATTTGATCTTCGGAATTTCGAATTATAAATGTTATTTTAGATTTTTTATGTTTATTTATTTCAGCTGTTCTGACTTGGAGGGGCCCAAGTCAGTTAGTCGGGAAATAATCAAAATTGTCTAATGCCGGACGTGTCCACCGGCGCGTCAGTCAGCTCACTGGATCAATCATCGGAAAGTATGTCCCTCATGGCCCAGAAGACGACTCTACGGCCCTAGTGACGCCAACAAGCACGCGGTCGAGCACTTGTGGCGTCAGTTAGCTCCAGGCAAATCACGCGGTCATCTCTGTACAATCGTTCGCAGTCAAATCGCAGTTTTTTGCAGTCAGCTCACTCGTTGTACAAAAAAGTACGGTCAAATAGACTCAGACAACTCTCACGAACATACGTGAATCATCAAAATCAATCTCATCAGCGCCAGTGGTCCAGTAAAGTCAGTTGTAGTGTCTTTGGGCGCGAAGCTGAACTGGCGTCGACGCCATAGTGCCTCACGGACAGTCACACATACATCACACACTCGAACAACTTAGGTGTATAGTGTGCCTGTTGCTATTCATGGATAAGAGTTTGTTTTTTGGTGACAACTACATATCAGACAATTTATAAGTGTACAACCCATTACATTACAGTCAACTCACAACCAATTAGTGATTATAGTCAGTTGTGGTGTGCGCGTTTAGAGTGCACGTGCTGCACTTTTTTGTACCCGAAATGAGTAAATATATCCTACCGAGGATTCTTTCGTAAAGAATAGAATTCTCCACATCTTTCCGAAATTTGTAGACAATTTCATATAAAAAATGTAAAAATATAAAAAATATTCATGCAAATTGATCCACTATATACGTTTAATATTTTAATGGCACTTAATTAATAGTTCAGCAATTGTAGAAGCCGATAGAATGATTTTAACTGCATTAAATTTACCAAAAATGGTTGTCAAAAATTAAAATCTCAAGAATTATGGTTGAAAAGCATCAAAACAATAATCTGCGTTTTTTTAGAAACACGGCAATAAGAAAAGTCATTGATTTCGTCACTTTTACGATGATACCAGGCACAATTATTCCGGAATCTATGTATTTAGATTGAAGTAATTACAGAAATAGCATTTACAACGGTCTCTCGTCTCCTCTGAAACTTAAGGTTGAGTAATGTATATCAGCTATAAAAAAGTCAAAGGTGACACGTCGGGATAAATTTTTTGTAACTCTTGAGGATAATCCAAACGCTGTGAAAACGTGAAATCTCATTTATTTCTCTTAAATTTGAGACATTTAAAAAGGTCTAGGGTTTTTCCCAACGTTTGAGAAAAATCATAAATTTGCCCAACAAATACTACTCAATAAGTTTTAGACAATTTTGAAGAAGTTCCAAATATTTTCATATTCATAAATAACACCAAGTTTGTACGAACATTCAAAAAAGATCTTGAATATTTTAAATCTTTCCCGGACTCTTAAACCTTCTAAACCGTTTGTTTGGAAAATTCTTGAACAAATTCAAGAATCTCTTTTTTTATTTCGTAGGAATCTATTTTTGCATCGAAAAATTAATTTAAAAAATTTTAGTATAGAGTATCAGTTTCCAAACATTCCTAAATAGACATCAAGATACCTTATGTATTCGTAATCGATTTGTCGTATTAGTTTTATTACTGCATATACCCACCGTTAGTTCTTTAATAATTGCACCCGTTCTCCATCCATGTTCAAGGGTTACATCAGCAAGGTCGCTATAAGGATGATCACCGAAGTATAGCACTTGATGCCCAGACCACCCAGTCAAATCTTGGAGTTGTTTTACTGTTCCCTACAATTACGTAATTTAATATAGTAATGGATTCAGATAAATGAATTAAGGATGCAAGAAATTTCAAAATACTAGAACAATGCTAAAACTGGAAACCCTGAGAAGAGCAACATTAGAGACGACAAGTAAAATTCAGGTGGCGCTTCAAAAATTTTTTGTATAGTGGAAGAAATATAGGACGACTAAAAAAATAACTAAAAATGCATCAGAGTCTAAATCATTAAGTAAGGAGATCAGAGATTTGCCCAGTGTTGCGAGAGGTTAATCGCAATCTGTCAGCTGGACTAGCTCTCGTCCTAGCTAGTGCTCAGTCGAGCTCATCCGATGTGCTCGCCCTGTCCTAGCTATTCTTTCAGCGCTCAACGAATTACAGCTCGTCTTCGAGTCGAACCTCAATTGACCGAAAGCAGCCGGTTCTCTGCATGTCGTTTTTCGACTTTGCAGCCCCGGATGCGGGCTTGGATTTCGGTCTCTCGTAGTACTAGTTTTATCCGCTTTGGTCGGTGGCCCTAGTTGTTAAGTGTCGTTAAGCGCGGTGAAGAATGGAAAATGAAAGCCCTATCCGTTCGATCCACAGGTTACCGGTGTTCTGCGAAGGTTGCAAACCTGCAACCTGTGCCTAGGTGTTCCGATAACGCCCGGGTGTGGATCAATGAAGTTCACGAGCTATGTTTTATGGCGCTGGTAACGACCTACTACTTCTACGGGGCGGAGGATTCTGTGTGTTGGGCATTGCTGCTCCCGTGCACGCCTTGACAAATTGTTTGAGTGCCTCATATGTGTCCTCCGTTTAGACGAATTTTGGCGCTATTTCAGGTCACGTTAGGCTAAGGTCAACGTTCGTTTCCGAACGTATGAACCATATGAGATCCCTACGTTTGTCTCTATATGCGGGACAGTGCAGCAAGAAGTGCTCCACTATGTCGTCGTCTCCCCTATTGCAATTAGGGCAGGTTGGGTCTGTTTCGGTGGTATATTGTGCAGGATGTGCACGAAATATGCCATGTCCTGTGAATATTGGCGTCATCAGGTATTTCAGGCGTATCCAATTTTTTTCAAGCCTATCTACAATGTTTGGAAAGAAATGGTATGTTTTGCGACCCGTCTCGAACGCATCTTATTCTGCCTGCCATATTTTGAGTGTTTGCAACGTGAGGTTTATTATCGGCGTCGACGATTCTTCTGACGTATTGTCGTTCAGAGAAATTCTAACATTGTTGTACGTAACTACTTTGCGGTACGAAGTGTATATCGCGCATTGAGATCACCGATCACTATGCGTATAGGCGGGACGCCCACCGCCACGCAGAGGCCGTCCCTTGGGGTAGATGCGCGAACGTGCGCGACAACTCCCAAGACGCCCCTCTGCCTGGCCGCAGACGTTCTAGTACATATGCTCTTCTTACTGCTCTTGCTATTTTCTCATTAAATTATTGCTCTAAGCTCTATTTAAGTTCAAGAAAGTTCCTAAAAGCTCTGCTAAGCTCTACTCGTGTTCATGTTCATTGTGATTAATAATTTTTTTTTATTGTAGCTTTCGGTGTGGGTGGATTCATGTGTAAGGTGTTACCTGGGTGGAGACGCAAAGTTTTTGATGGGAAGTTGCGGAAGTTGCGTAGAATTGAAAATTGTATTTATTGATTAAATAATGTATATGTCACATGAATTTGGATGTTTTTAACAAACATTGATTATAACTATTTAAATTTATTGTAAACAAATACGAACGGAAATTTCGTCGTAATAGCACAGATAAAGTGTGCTCAGATCTATTTTTATTCTAATAGGAAGAATAAAAATTCGCATGCATTTTTGACAAAAGTGCATTGTTACTATTTAAAACATCAATATTCATGTTTACATGTGGATATTGTTGTAAATTTATATAAACAGAAAACTTTTTGATTTTACAATGATCAAATATATCAGTAGGTTTAGACAATTCATTTTCACGTTTAGTTTGTATTGAAAATATTATATCTTAGTTTATTTAGTTAATTTGTTGTCTTTACAGACAATATGTGTTCCGTTGTTATAGGTAGAGATAAATATCCATATAGCTCCTATAATTTGAAGGCTATTAATATCGATGGATCTTTGCTAAAGTAACTCAGCACATCAACTTTTTTTGGGTGTTTAAAAAAATACATTCGTCATTGAAATATTTAGAGAAAAATCTGCAATAAATTTTACATTGGCAAATCCTATTGTTGAATTTTTGGGTTTTGAACGAAGAATGTATTCAGAAAACGAACTTTATAGAGCAAAAAAAGCATTTTGAATGTTGATGCAATATGCGATAAGTATAATATTACAAGTGGAAAATAAAAAAAATCATCAATTAGCTCGTACAATTCATAAATTTTTTCGATCAGTTCCACCAGAATATAAAAGAATTGTAACGCCATCGAACATCATTTATCTACCAGTCACCGGGAAAGAAATACAGAACTCGCAAAGAAGACTCTTAGATCAATATCTAATTTCTTATCTCGCTCCAACAAATATGCACAAATATCTTTCAAAGCATAACTACCGGTTGGACTTGTAATCGACGCCATTTCTTAGTTATTATATATCGAAGTTGATTTATACCTTCATAGATATTAGGAATTGAATTGAATGTAGGTAAATCAACAAGTCCAAGAATGTTCTGACTTAGATGGTCCCAAGTCAGGTAGTCTACAGATATTCAAAAATTGCTTAATGCCGAACTGTAACTGTGTGCCTGTCGCTACATTCTGTGTTAACAAAGGTTTTGTTGTGATTCTAATACTTTAGACACGTCTATTAGTGGAAAATAGAGATAATTAACGAACAACTCATAAGTAATTAGTGGTTAAGTCTAATTTATGCTGATTTGGAATGCATTATTCTGTCTCCCGTTAACAATAAATTAGAACATATATCATGTAGTATATCTTTTTATTTTCATTGTTCTAATGATGATTCTAAATCGAAATTCGCTTTATATCGTGGTGAAGATTGTAGAGAATGGTTTATGCAAAAATTATTTGAATTTTTAAAAAAAAATTCAAAGAAATAATTGTCAATTCTATACCAATGGCACGATTAGACAATCAACAAATCTCTTATTTTTATAATGCCGAATAATGTCATATATGTGAAGTACCTTTAAAGATGGTGAAAATCGAGTCCATGATCATTGTCATTTTTCAGGGAAATTTCGCGGTCCAGCTCAATCTGCATGTGATTTAAATTATTAAATACAACCGATAGTTGCAGTTGTCTTTTATAATTTATCAGGTCACTATTTACATTTTCTTATTGAATCGTTATCATCATCTTTTGATGGTGAATTATCTATTATCCCTATCAATGGAAAGAAATATACATCATTCACTAAAACTGTTCAATGTATATGAACTTTCGTTCTATAGATTCATTCCACTTCATGAGCACAAGTATTGATGAGTCCATAAATCCTTGGATTGTTGAAATGTACTATCTGTATCAACATGATCATTATATATATGACGTAGATTCATTTCATCTTGTCAAAAGAGAATGAGAAAATTTGTATTATCTCGTACTAAATATTTCGGAATTCTTGCATAAGTCTGACAAAGATAGAAGCTATCAACATCTTTGTGACGTCTCATACAAAAATATGCCCGAACATTACCTTGTTTCTCACAAACTATATAATCAAATATAAATATCAGTGCTCTGCAGTGGTCTTGGTGCGACCCGAAAGGTCCACACGACCAACTTCCCAGTGATTTGAATAGAACCTGTTTCCATTTTTTATAACAAATGGAATTGTTATAAACGAAATGAGTCTCTTTTTATTCATTTGATATGGTTAGTTACTTTATTTCAGTAAAAGAAAAAATTGTGCGTTAGAAGAATTCGAATGTACCTCATAGATCCTTTTTTTTATTATTTACAACGAATTTCATTGTTATACACGAAAAAAGTATGTTTTCATTTATGTCATACGGTTGGTAACATTTTTTTAGTAAACGAAAAAATTATGCGTCAAAAGTACTCTTATATATCGAAAGGGTCCCTATTTTTATTGTTTATAACCATTTAAAACTTATTATTTAAATATTACTATGATCAATAATCACTTGTTAACAATGTTCAATTGTTATGAACACAATTCCATATTATTGACAATTATTATTGACTATTATAGCGTCTTTAATGCTGTTTTCTCAATCCTGACACGAGTTTAAAATTCTTTCATTGCTGATTTTTTTTTAAAATTGTTTTTTTCGATGAAATATTATCACCATATTTTCATACAAGTATTCTAATCATTTAATATTCATATTTCTGCAATGATCTTGAAATTTTGTCTAAAAAATGGTATAATTTATAAATTGCAAAATTCAGGTAATTTCCTTTTTTTCCAGTTTTTTGATTCTGCCAAAAAAATGGCTCTACCGATTTTCCTGAAAACTTTTTTCAGTTCTAAGTTACGTAATTACGCGTCGAATGCTATTGGTTCCACATCGATATCATTTTTTGTTCTCGAGATAATCGAGGCGAAAAATAATTCCGAACGTACGTACGCACATATGCACATACGCACATACGCCCATACGCACAAACGTACATACACACACACAGACGTCCACTGGAAAACGGTCGTATTAGATTCGCGGGACCTTAAAACGTGGAGATATGTCAAAATTAGCGATTCGCAAAATCGGACCCATTACTATAACTTCCCACTGGGAAGTTAATAATTTAATTTAGTTGCACATTGTTTGTTTATACAACTTCTTCATTTTTATTAAAAGGAAAAATCCAACATCATCAATTGGTTCAAGTAATTTTTCTAAATAATTGTATTTAGGCTGATTCAATAATTTAGTATAAAGACAAATATTTTGAAATTTTTCTACAGATAATTTCACATTATGTGGTTTAACTTTATTTCGAAGTCAAGTCAAGTAAGTGCAAGGATTTAAATACCGCTGCTTTTATAGTTTCAAATCAGTTAAATAATGTCCGTGAATAGAAAA